CTCTCAAAACAGAAGGACTGTTAAATGGCTTTCACTTCAGTTATAATTCACTCTGATAATATCCTAACGGACCAAATGAATGAGTTTTGTCCTCTATTAATACTTAGACGACGCATTCAATTGACGCCTCTCTCTCATTTATAAATCCAATGCTGCACTCATTACGATGAGAAAGGGAGAGAACTCTAATTCTAATGGCACCACAACCTATATGGAAATATTGTGCGAGATAGAGATCCTCATCCCTATAGACAAGTCAATGTGTACTTATGTTTGAAAAACCTTAATCACGCGTTGAGTTTGTAGCTTTTTTTTGTATTCACCCTTTTAATACAAGGATTTGAATAATTTTAGTGGTTCATCCTTTATTTCAAAATGTGAAATAACATATCACAATTAAGTAAAAAAATAAGCGGGTTATTTTCAACATTAATAACAATCTCACATAACTTATATATTAATTTTATAAATCGATCTTAGTATACTAACCATTTCTCTTTTAATATACTCACAAATATATTCCAAAGATATCCAGCTTTTTCTTGATTTAAAACACCGAATGCATGATGAGTTGCATATATTTGTGTGGTGGCGGGTGAGCCGTGAATGTGAACAGAGGAAAAACAAGTCGAAGAAGAAGAGGGAGAGAGATGACAGGTAGAGAGGGCAAAAGTTGCAGGGATAGTAGAAGCTTTTGCCGATATTCTGAAATCTAGTTTTCTTCATATTTACAAATCCTATATGGGTTTATCCCACCCCCTAGGTGGGATTTTTTATCTGGACTATATCTGGGTTATATTCGGTCATATCCAGATTTCATGTCACTCCAAACATTGAATTTATCCTATAAATAATTTTATCCGGTCCACCAAACTCAGCCTATGGAGAGCTATAGATGATTCTAGTATTTAGATGTTCTAAAAATGAGAAAGCTTATTTAAAGCAAGGGAAAGAATTAAAAAAGGAAAGAAGGAAAAAGGAACGGAAGAACAGTACCCACAAAAGAAAATAAACGAAAGAAAAAAAATCTGAATATTCAGAAAATCATGCAAAATTATATCGTTTCATTTAAGGGCGAGATTTTTGTGGTATTCGAGGAAATGGGAAACAAAGGATTGTTGGAGTAATTGTTCATGTTTTTCTTATTCTTTTCAAATTCCATAAGGCTAGAGATGATTCCAGTATATAAATGTTCTAGAAAAGAGAAACCGAAAAGAATAAAAAAAAGAAAGAAGGAAAAGGGAGAAGATGAACAGTAACCACACAAGAAAGAAAAAAAGAAGGAAATCAGAATATTCAGAAAAGAGAATTGATTAAGTGATAGTCATTAATCTACTATGAGATTAACACAATGTCGCGGGCCATGGGCCACAAAAAATAAATAAAAACTAATTATAAATTATTGTGGGGTCCAGTTCTTTAAGAATTTGTGACTCACCAACTTGCCGTTATTCTCGACCCAAAGACTGTTATACAAAGCCCTTCAAAAAATCATGCAAAATTATATCGTTTCATTTAAGAGTGCAATTTTGGGATATGATTTTTGGGATTCGAGGAAATGGGAAACAAATGATTGTTGGAGTAATTGTTCGTGTTTTATTTTTTTATTTTTTTAAACTCCATCGGGCTAGAGATGATTCTGGTATTTAAATGTTCTAGAGAAGAGAAACCTTATTTGAAGCAAGGGAATAAATAAAAAAGGAAAGAAGAATGAGGATGAAGATGAACGGTAACCACAAAAGAAAAATAAAAAAAAGAAAAAACTCATAAAATCGTGGAAAACTACCTCGTTTCATTCAATTTGTTCGCATCAAATCGCTAGCCAAAATTTGACCAGAATTGAGGAATACATTGGAATAATTGAATGATAAGGATTACATTAGAATCCGTACAATATGTTTATGACTAAATTGGTAATTTTCTCGAAAATATTTGCATTAAATAGAAAACTTACTCAAATTAATTAATCCTACTCAAATTAGTAAACCACTAAAACCAGGGACCTAAATCGATCCAGTTTCCTTTGTGAGCTTAAAAACAAGAGAGATTTTTAACAAACATGATGCATTACATGTAAGGAAAATTGTTGTCCCTTTCCTATTGTGCTTGCCCTGAAAGAACCCATAGATGGCACTCTTGGTTGGAGCATAAAAGGACCATCATTCAGCTAAATTTAGTCAAATTGTCAGTGTTGCTTCTAATTCTTCCTCATCGTAAGAGAAGAACATGGACAAAGTGAAGTCTGTATTTGTGGTTTGTCTTGTGTTGGGGTTGTTTCTTGGGCAGTCCAGAGCCAAATTTCAGGATTGCTACAAGAACTGCCTAATCGTGTGTGCCATCACGCCCGGTAAATCTCTGCCCTTATGCGCTCTCAAGTGCTTGAAGGACTGTATAATTCCTTTTTCAGACAGCCTCAGAGATCCACAGTACTTCTGCCAGCTTGGATGTGCCTCCTACTTGTGTACCAACCTCAGTTCAAAGGATGACCCGGGTAATAAATCTCTCTCTCTCTCTCTCTCTCTCTCTCTCTCTCTCTCTCTCTGTGTAAGCTCACATTTCTGCTCACGTTTATGTTTCTCAGGTGAGAAAAGAGTTGCAGGTTGTGTGGATTCTTGCTCGGAGAGATGTGCCACTCATGCGTAGCTTGCCCTCTGAGGATTTATGATAAATCTTTGGTTTTCTGAAGTCGAATAACACATCAATGAATTGAATGAAACGTCAGGAGTCTTGAGCCATTTTCAGTTCCAGCAAAATTCTTATCTACTTTGTTTCGGTGAATGTTAGTTTATTGGGATTTAATGTTTATCTGAAAATGCCAATCACGGAGTACACACTAGGATGTGTCGTTGACCAAAGGTTCATGGCTTCACAGAGCACTAGGAGTTAGTGCTCGAGCGGGTGAGCCATATACGTATCAAAATGTTCAGTTTCCTAATCAACCAACTTGTCCTGAATAGAAAAGATTTGAACTAGCAACAGACGTGGCTTAGTGATAAGAATGTCATATTCTGATGTACAGACTCAAACCCATGATTGCTAAATAAGCATTGGACAAAAAAGTATTGGTTGAGGGAAGTCGGCCCCACATGGTGCAGCATTGCCATTTATGACCAGAAATGAATCGTAACCCCGTTGCGAACACTGGTTAGAGTAGCTGAGTGACATATATAGGGGGAAAAGATATCTAGCTCCCTTCTATGAATGCCAAATTCTTAAACTTTTTAGGGCATACAAAATTACGTCACTTCTAGTTAGATCGTTTGAATTATTTACCAAAACAATTTTTTTTGAAATATTGCGAGTAGCCACTTAACCATGGTTCGAAAATTCACAAGCATTCATGAATGAGCATGTAGCCCCTTAACGCATACAATTCCTTTCTTATTTTTGAAAGTTATAAATCGTTTTTGTGTTTTCAAATTGGGAAAAAGGGGAAACGAGAATGTTTTAAAAATGCGAACAGCTTCTATGGCTTCTTCACATGGATCACTTCAAGATAGCTTTTTATCCTACCTCGCCCGTTTCTCAAATATCATCTTCACTTAGCCGAAGCCGAACATTCCGATTACTCTGCCAACTCCATAAGAAGAAAAGAGCTGCCAATTGGCCAACAAGGCCCTCGATCCGAGCCGACAGGCTCATTGAGACCAATAAGGCCGGTGTATAACCAATGTGAGAAACGATCACTTAAGAGCAGACCGCATCATATTTGTCGACGTTATGTCCGTTGACAAATCCCACGTTCAAAGTCTACATCATGCATGGCCATTCAATAGACTTGTTGAGAGGATCGTCGAAGGCAAAATCCCATGGAATAGTGCAACTATTGATCTTTCCCCTTATTCTCTAGATTAGCATACTAAAAAGATATAGAAAAATGAAACGATGGAAGAAAAAAAAAGAAGAAAAGGAAAAAGATATGGAAAAATTAATTTTAAAAACATCAATAAAATATTAAAATATTATTAAAAAATTTCCACATCAGCGTCGGCATCCACGTTAGTGATTTCAGGCCAAATTGGCCGGATGGAGTCAATTGACAAAATTGAAAAATTTAGGACTGAATTGACAAAGTGCAATAAGTTTGGGATATTTTGGACAATTTTCCCCACGAGCTTTATAAATTAAGTTCATTCGTTTGTAACATCAATTAAGTTCAATGTTTATTAGTTTTTGGTAGCATCAATAACAAGATAGTTGCAACTAAGAAACAGTTGCCATCGCCATAAATTGTTTTTATTAGTCTAAATAAATAACGTGATATACACGTAGAATATAGGTCTAGGATGAAGATTGTTATACATGTATAACATAAATATGTTGAAAAAATAAAGGATGTTAACGTAACAGATCTTTTGAGTTAACACTAAAACTTTTAAACAAAACAAATAGACATCGCTCAAATAATAAAAGATCAATATATTTATGTAAAGAAATATAACAAAATATGTTGATATCTTTAAAGTACAAACGAAGTAATTTACTATTTTCGAATCCAACACATAGAACAAGTATTCTATCATGCACAAGGGTTGTACTTTAGCAATGACTGAGATTGAAATCATGTGGGCAAGACAGGAAAAATTAAGTGCTACAAGAGCATCTACGTAATGCATCAAGGCAATATATAATCATCCTTAGAGGATCTAATTTTTGGTAGTTTGCAGCAATAATTACCAATAAAATAAATTAATTCAAGCACAAAATGAAAAATAAGAATTTGTACATTGCCATAGGATTTTTTCAATCATTCTAAAAATTCAGGAGAAAAAAAAAATGAAAGGCCTGTGGAGAACACTGTTATATGTGTATGACATTACTTGCAATATGGGAAAATAGTCTGAGAATGGATGTTGCCAATCCTCCACTCACAAACTCAACGAAAAGTACGGACATATTGAATTACACGTCACACAAATGTTTTGTCCCCATCCTCTCAAAGAAGGGCCATATAAGCACTTCATTCCAGCTCAATCTTGTACTTTTGTCAGTGCCGCTTCTAGTTCTTCCTCGTTGCAAGAGAAGAAGATGGGCGAGGTAAAGTCTGCATTTGTGGTTTGTCTGGTGTTGGGGTTGTTTCTTGGGCAGTCCAGAGCCAACTTCGAGGATTGCTACAAGGGCTGCTTCATCCTGTGCGCCATCACGCCCGGTCAAACTCTGTTCTCATGCTCTTTCAAGTGCCTGAAGGACTGCATAAGCCCTCCTTCAAACAACCTCAGAGTTACACACTACTTCTGCAAGCTTGGGTGCGCCTCCTCCTTGTGTACCAACCTCAGTTCAAAGGATAACCCTGGTAATAAATCTCTCTCTCTCTCTCTCTCTCTCTCTCTGTGGAAGCTCACATTTCTGCTCCTGTTCATGTTGCTCAGGTGAGAAAAGAGTTGCGGGTTGTGTGGGTTCTTGCTCGGAGACATGCACCCATCATGTGTAACTTGCCTACTGAGAATTTATGACAAGTCTTTGGTTTTCTGAAGTGGAGTAGTATTATCAGTGAATTGAATGAGATGACAGGAGTCTTTGAGCTATTTTTAGTTCCAGCAGATTCGTATGTTACTTTGTTATGGTGGATGTTAGTTTATTAGGATTTTAGATTTTATCTCAACATGCCTATGGTGGAGTGCACACTAGGAAGTGTTATATTATTGACAAAAGGTTCACGGGTTCACAGAAGCACTGGAAGTTAGTGCTCAAGTGGGTGAACCATATACATATCAGAATGTTCAGTTTCCTAATCAGCCAACTTGTCTTTTTTTTTTTTTTTTTCTTTTGGTCGCCAGTATACTTGTCTGGATTAGAAACGAATTGAACTGGTGGCCAGCGACAGAGGTGACTTACTGATAAGAATGTCATATTCCGATGTACAGATTTAAACCCGTGATCGAGTAATGAGGCTTGGACAAAAAAATCGGCCACTTCTGGTTAGATCGTTTGGAGCATTTACCAGAACAAATTTTCTGAAATATTGCGAGTAGCCGCTTACTGCCGGTTCAAAAATTCAAAAGCATTCATGAACAAGCGTGTAGCCCCTTAACGCAATACAATTTTCTTTACATTTTTTAAAATTTAAATCATTTTTGTGTTTTGAAATTGGGAAAAAAGGGGAAACCAAGAATGTTTTAAAAATGGGAACAGCTTCTATGGCTTCTTCACATGGATCACTTCAAGATAGCATGTTATCCTACCACGCCCGTTTCTCAAGTATCAATCTTCACTTAGCCAAAGCCGACTATGCCAATTACTCCACCTACTCCATAAGAAGCCAGCTGCCAATTGGCCAACAAGGCCCTCGATCCGAGCCGACAGGCTCACTGAGACCAATAAGGCCAGTATATCCAATGTGAGAAATAATCACGTAAGAGTAGACCGCATCATATTCGTCGACGTTGTTCCCCGACAAATCCCACATTCAAAGTCTATTTCATGCACGGCCATTCAATACTCTTGTTGAGAGGAAAGTCGAAGGCGAAATCCCATGGAATAGTGCAACAATTGATCTTTCCCCCTATTCTCTAGATTAGCATACTGAAATTGAGAGAATGTAGATTCAGAAGACCAGTTAATTACAAACTAATTAACCTGTGCCCATGTCATTGCCTCTGCGCAAAATTCGGCACCACCTCAGTAGCCATACCTTGAACAGTTTTCACACCCAATCATAAAATACTTGAAGCATATCAAAAAGAAGCTACGCCAGTCCATCAAATCGTGTAGAGGAAATCTGTCTACGTGATCTCAAGATTTCTCATCCCCTCCATACCAAAAACCTGGGGAGTTGGAACATGTAAGCCTGAAAGTCTCTACTTACAACGAAGCAATATTCTCAATTGCTCAACCTTATGGAGCAAAGGTGGAAAGGCCTCGAAAACTTAGCCGAAGAAAGGCGAAAGAACAACTAGACAAAGGAGGTTTTGCACTACTTTCTCTATGGCAATTATTACATTATAAATTTCCCAAAATAATGGAAAAAAAAAACAACTCACTGAATTGGTAAACACCAGGAAATGGAGGCAACGGATCCCGGTGATCTCTTAAGCTACCTGCGGGAAAACTAATGAAAATCAGGAAAGATGCAATTGATAAGGCATGGATGTCAAGCAGAATTTCAGAGTTATCAGTGCATGGATCTCCTTGAGATAAATACACGCTCCCCATGTGGAGTAAGAATTCAAAAGCAAAGTGACATCTGAAAGCAGTAGCTGTCATTATAGTTAAGCTTGCTTGGTCAGCCAAAATTCCCCTCATGGTGCACTTGTAGTATTCAACCACACAATTAAGTGTTTTAGACCGATTTCCTCTGCAGCGTCACTCAACCTATAAGATTATAACTTGTACAACAATTGTTTTAAGTCCTCAAATGTTTATGCAATTTGTGATCAAGTCTTACAACTTGCTGAGCCAACTATTTTCACTTGGATCCTACTAAAACAAGATGCAGTCTGAGCACATTCACTGCTCCAGGTTCCTGCATGTAGGACAAACAACACAAGTATTTGCAGGAGCTTCTGACAAAGACAGCCAAAGATGATATAGGTTGCTGCTGCTCGGGAAACTTACGTAATTTGGGAATGAATTATATGAATAACCAGATTCACCACTGCCTTGGGTTCATGAATGACAAGCAATATTGAATCTTCACATGATCCAGACTAAGCTATAAAAATGCATTTAAGGTAGTCGTAGACTAGATCCCATAAATGCACAAACATGGCTTCAAGTAGCCAAGTCATATGTCTGAAAGGTTGGTCCAACAAGAACTGTAATAGGTACCTTGACTAAGGGCTACTTTCTCCAGATTACCACGATTATATTCTGAAGCTACCTTGACTGTTTCAAAAAGAGTTCTACTGGCACACCAGCAATAGTTCTATAGTTATGCAGAAGTCTGGTACTTGAAGGATATATAAAGTGATAATGGATTGAAATGGAAATGTGGTTCATCATGTCTCCATTTGACATCCTAATTGTTACTTTTCAATGTCTTAGAGGATTTGAACAAAAATTTGAGTCATTTTTCACCATTTGGACCTGTGCTTGAATAAAATCTTAGTTGAGCAACAAGTTTAACTGTGACCCTCCAAAGTTACACTCAATCCATATATATCAACTACTCAGTTGAATTTTTGTCTCACCTTGAAAGAGAATTAACAAAATTTCGACTTGGTTCTCTCGAGTCACTCTCGGTGGTATTGCATATGAACTGTCAAAACAGAAGAAGTGAACTTCAAAAACAAAAAATGAACAGGACTTCACTTTTCAAGCAGCATAAGAGTAAAGAATAAGTGAACAGCATTAGTGATTAGAATAAATGGAGTAAAAGATGTAATAACACAACATAGAACAAACAATGTGTGGGCGGTAATCAAAAAATGAAATCACAAGTGCAAGAGGCTATACGAAAAGAAATTGACTCCCATAATTGAGGACACGGTGTTGACCTGGAATGATAAACCGTAAAAGTGGAACTTGTGCAACCAGTTCAGTCAACATGACCAGTACATTCTACGTGGATATGTTGCAATATGTAGGAAGACCAGGAAAGAGACTGAAAACAAGATCCACTTTAAGTTCTTATTGCAAACTCAAATGACCAAACAGAATTTATACAGCTTTATGAGATGCAGTAGCACATATAGCACGCCATATATTTGGCCATGAAGGTGAAGATGCAAAATGGCTCAGTTTGTAGAGAATGAATCAGATCCAGCTTTCCATGTTAGAATCAACCGTGTGCCATTATTTACCATTGCTATAAGGATGCAATCTGCACTTCTCATTTTACCAATTTTGTGAACTTTTTCTTATTACCCATTTGATTAGAAGACTCTTTCGATATATACACGTTCCCAATATTTATTTGTATATAAGCGCCACTTTAATAAGTAAAAGAGAACCTTTTGAATCTGCCATTGCATTTTGGGTTTTAAAATATAAACACGAAATAAGTTTATGAGATACTACACGAGGCACATATGAATGAAATGTTTCCACAACAGGAACAGTTACAATAAATTTTTTTTTTTTTTGCTTGTTTTAATAGATCAGCTCAACCAAATTTTGAAGCATCACAGTACATTGTCTCTGCTGAGTTCAATAAAAGTAGAATCTATGGTAACATCTCATGGAAATGAGAGTAAGAGATGCTTAGAATCAAGTAATCACCATCAGACAAAATTTGGATATGCACACTGGCCCCACAATTGCCTTTCAGGCCGGTGGGGTTCCTTCATCATTCACACCCAACTCTTCTTCAGCTTCGTTGCCATTAGTGAGTCTGGCACCATCAGTAGAATTAGCATCCGCCACTACACCCTCCTCCTGGCTTTCTTCTTCGGCATCCTCTTCCTCTCCATTTTGTTCATCAGCCTATATGGAGATGAAAAGAAAAAATAACACACAGAAAGGAAGTTCCTGGCCATTCATGACTATCACTTCGAGAGAGAAAGCAAATGGGTCACGTGGTTTCCTATTGTATTTTATAGCGTCTATGTAATCTCCTTTGCTCTAGGCATGGTACTGCAAACTGGTCCTGATTGCTTTATGGAAGAAAATGAGTAAATAGTGGGAAGACATGACTCACTATGAACTTGGTCAAGAACATTACCTTGTGACTCTGGTCACCATTTTCAAGAGTTACATTCTCTTCCTCAGCTTGCATGCTTCTGAAAGCCTCAACAAGATTATTGTGCGATCTATCAGAGTACTTTGCGTATTCTTCCGCAGGAGGATAAACACCCCTAGAAAACAATTAGAAGTTGAAAGTAAGCAAACTATACCAAATGATGTTCTGGAGAATTTCTAAAAGATTTAAGCATCAATAATTCAAGCTCTTTAAAAGAAACACTGAAAAGCATAGGTATTACACGTCAACAGTAGTGATAGAAACTGATGTAATTAAAAGGCAATATAATTAACGAGAGAGAGCATAAAAAGGTGGACACGACGGTATCATTTTTAAGCATAGATGAACTAAGAAATTGTTTTCCAGTACCTTGTCCCAGCAACCTTAGATTCAACAGAAAGAGCCACTAGCCAATCGTCAAATAAATTTGGATATTCTTCAGGGTCAGCCAAAGATTCTGCAGCTTGTGGATTTACCTGCATAAATATAGATGTGCTTATGTGACTACCCACTTTTATATGAACCTTTTATGTATCTGAGAAAATGATTGAGATATCAGACAACTAGAAAAGGACTTGGTTTTGTCCATAGCTAAACATTACATATAACATTTAAAGTATAAGCATGAAAATATTGAAACGAGAACTTGAATGGTCCTGAAAGTAGAGAAGTAACCTCTTTCTTGCCGCAACATACTTAACATCAAGAAAATCGGTTTGATGAATTGGAAGTTGCCTAACATAATCTAACAATAGCAAAGGAAGAATGAAAGTACTACTTGAATAAATTGGATTAAGAAATCAGATTTAGATTCTTTCAGAAAAAAAGTATCCAAATAGCCAGTTTCTATAGCTAATGACCGAGAACTTTCTGTATAGTTCCACAGCTAATTGGTAAAAAAGCAGGAAAGAATCAAGAACCATCCCTCGCAGCACCAGTACAATAAGGTTGCAAGAGAAAAGGCATCATTAATGATACAAACAACAAAATGCATGCGATCAAAATCAGGCTCCATTTACTTTTTCAAGGACAAAACATGACAAGGGAATATGACTTACCTTGTGGAGGTCCTTTCTCCAGATTGCAGTAATCTCTGAAACTTTGCTTGGTAGATAAGATCGTGCCATCAAAGCAGCCTCAGGTATGCGATTGCTGGAAAACACAAAGATGTGTGTGTGTGTGTTTGTGAGAGAGAGAGAGAGAGAGAGGCATTTACTATCGCATGATGTAATGTTCTTTTTATTCTATAGAAAAACAAAGTTAAAGCTAACTTACGTATCCACCAACAGCTGGAGACAGTCTTCTAATTTACCCAACATATATAAACAGAGGAATGCAACATTATTCTTTCCTTGCTCTTTAGCAAGGGATGCAAGTCTCGAGATTCCTTCAGCATCACCTAAGGAAGAATAGAGCAGTAACAAGCCACTCAAATCCATAGCCTGTTTCATACATTCTTCAGCCATTTCCAACTGCATTAAATCAAATACGCAAATGATAAGGACGACATACAAGCATTGATTCGCAAATATAATAAAATTTGAACTTGTTAAAGCTGGGAAATTTTCACTAATATGTTGATCCTAGAAAACCGTTTTAAGTTAAAATTCAGACAATTAATCTCACAAGAGAACCTGAACTTCATTCCCAATCTAGATATGTTTTTTCAGAGCTTTCTCTTAAAAACCTGATATGTTTAACATAGAAAGCCATGACTATCAAGTTGAGTAGATGGAACACCTTTCCACTCGACATAGCTAATTCTCCCAGCTGCTTCCATTTAGACTCGCTCCGCACTTCCATTGCAATTTCCTGTCATAAAAAAAAATTCAGGTTATTCTTGATGTCCTATAACCATCAATGACTCTCCAACCAAAAAGGAAAACTGCCATGTTTGGCTAAAAACCAACACAAATCACCTTTGCAATCCCCAACCTCCCAAGCTGTATGGCTAATTCAAACCTGTAATCCGGGTCCGTAGCCACTTCAAGTGCATCCTCTATCATACCTCGTGCTTCCAAGAAACGAGCCACACTAATGATTGGAGATAAGTTAAAACTTCTCAAAGGTACATTGTCAAATTTACAACGATCAAGTGGTGCAGCATTATAACAAAATTACTAGACTTCAGTTAAAAGAGAATCAAAGGTATGGTGTACCTGCAACCGTTAATGTCCAAAATCAAGGACAAGCATTAGGAAGAAGTTGTCCCTTAAATTTATGCAAAATAAATTAAACAAAAGTTTCGCCAGGAAAAAACAGATAAAGCTAAAGCTATAATCATGGAACCAAAAGGCAATGGCATTCAAATCTACCAAATAGCCAGATCCACAAGCAGACTGATGCTGATTTCACATTCATTGTAAGAGAAAAGATGAGATTACCAGAACAGATGGTTAATGAATACTGTAGAAGGAATAATAATTGCAGTAGCCAGCAGAGAGAAGGATAAAGCATTTAAAAAACAATGACATTGTCAGTTTTATTTTAGTTGTTCCAACAATAGTTGCATTCAGCAATTTCTTCCCCAATAAAATAAATGTCAACAAAACAAAATGAGCTTCACGTCCATCACAGAAGTTCTTACTCTTGACATATATCATACAAGTCTACTAGCCATCCTTTTCTCGAGAAAACCTCAACATTAAAAACAAAAACATTGGCCTTGGTAGAGAATCCTGATCATTTGGCAATCATGGGATGACGTGTACCTATTATGATGCTCTTGAGGAATCGAAGGTAAAAGTGCATTGGCCCTTTCCAGATCTCCACGCATAACCAGAGTTTTGTATTCTATCAAGCTGAGAAGTAATGTATACCCCATAACACTGCATTTAAAGTCATGCAAATAAGATTCAATAAAACCTCAATATATAAGCTGCAATATAATGACCTGTTGTCAAATAACAAATGCTAAAACCTTACTCACTTGAATTCTTTATCAATTAGGTATACCCGGCTTTGATTGGCAAGATATCCCAACAAGTACATAGGCCGGTCCAAATGGAACATTGTAGTCACCTGAAGTTGTCAAGTTATTACTCAAGAAGAATTGATTTCCCATTGAGCACATAACATTACATGGAGAATAAAAAAGAAGATGAAAAGGAAAAAATTGAGAATCATACCTCCCCACCTACACAGTAATTGAGCCTCCAAGAAGAGTTGTTGTAAATGAAACAATCACCAACCCAGATACCGGTCTTGACACGCTCATTGGTTTCATGGAGAAGTTCAAAAGCATCCTCTACTCCTTGTTCATCTTCTGCTTTTCCGCTCTCCAAATAAGACACAACTACGTCACGCTTAAAACAAAATCCCAGATGACCTCGTCAGCTCACCCAGTAATGTCACCAGTGGCATAACAAGAAAATTACAAACAATTGAAAGTAGTCAAGTCCGAGATACGAGAGAAAAATGATACTCACATTATACTTGAGGATGTAGAAAGATGCATCACTGGCAATTGCCACTAAATCACCACTATCAGCCCAATATAGGTTCTAACACGATAGAAAATTATATGACATCAAAAGTGCATTCACTGAAAATAAGATAAATTTGTGTGTGCGTGTCGTGACACAAACTTACTTTCACATTGACATCAATTCTTCGAATCAACCTGCATTCAACCCAATCATAGAAGCAAATGAAGTCATTTGAGCACATGGCCAACAGAGTGCCGCCATAGATATGTTCAGCCAAATAGGTTGGTCGAATACTCTTTTTCTCCTGAAAAATACCACCAGTATCATACTTGCCACATCCTCTAAACAACGTCACATGAGTTTTCACCTCGCATGCTAGTATTGATGTCGAACAAGGGTACCAAAAAATTGTTCCCAACTAGCTAAAAATCTTCAAACATATGTGCATGTGTGGCTGTTTCGAAAGGTATAAAATAGATCATATATATGGCATCAAGGTGGTGCAAACCCATTAACCAAAAAGAAAAAAGAACAACCGTGGCCATTAAGAAACTTCTGGTTGTAGAAGAGCCATGGCTACTGTGGCCATGTATTACAGCTCCAAAGTGCAAAGAGAGTACTCATCGGTCTGGGGAGCATCAAATGTAGGGAGAATGACAGATGAGAAAGGTGATATCCTTAGGCTACACTGGTTTGTCTTCAATTGTTATACTCATACATAAACATTTAAAAAAAAAGCAATCCACATCTATAGGAGCTGCAAAACAGTAAATGTAAAGGCAAGTAGATTAGCCAATACCAACTAATCATTTGAGAGCAAAAGGACTTCACAGGATCCCATTTTCCTTTTAAGAAAACAAACGTTTTTATTGGACTCAGGACGGCAGAAAACTACAGCAAGTATTTTTGTAAATCACTGAAACTGAAACTTATGAAATGTACAGTGTAAATAGACCAACCTGGAAATTTTTACTGAAGATTTTGATTTTTGAGGTACTTTCCTTGACAGCATATTCCCCATCAGAAGACCAAACAAATTCAAGTGCTGAACCGAAAGAGCGGTTCCTCCATGCCAATGCAGTATATATAATGTACTCACCATCTCCGCAGACTACAACAAACCTCCCATTTGGATTGTGCTTTAAGCTCTGAAGAAGAATCAACAATACAAATTGGAGGTTTGTGAATAACTTCATATGTAACAAGAGTTTAAGACTCCTCAAAGTCAATTGCTTTATTAGTAGCATAGTCTCTGACCAAAAAAACAATAGTAGCATAATCAAGAAAATGTGATCCAGGCAGATCTTCCATGTTGATGTCCCAATCAAAGTCTTTAGAATAAGCAGTTAAATCCTAGTATCCCATTGATTCATCTAGCAATATAGACAAGCTTGTCCACTCCCTTTTAGAGCCATCCTTACTATTTCAAAAACTAGACGCAAAACTTATAATTTCATGAAGAGAATCTCTACTAACATGTGATCACGCATATAGACAGAATCACTGCCTGGAGCACATCAACTCTTTTAGCAAGCAGCAAAACCACTGCTTTCAAATCCAGAAAGAAATACTCCACAGATTCAAGTATAAGGAAATAAGGTAAAAAAGACAACGGGCAGTGAAACCTCCTCGGCATAAATATGGACCAAAGTGATGAGGAAGTAGGACCTCAGGCCCCATTTATCCTCAAATGTCAATTATAATAAATAGCTTTCCAAAACAAGAAGCATGTTCAAACGCACAGCTAGCACCACAATGAGAAGTTGATGACAAGTATTCCTTACGAAGACATGTCTCGAATCTCAATACCTTATTCAAGAAACTAATCCAGGCAAAAGTGGAGTTCAAGGAGATGAAAACTCACTTGGGGGTAAAGATCACAGGTTCCCAACTCCTTAACAGCCAATGGCAACCTTTCGCCATCAGTAACCTACAAAAAGCAAAGCAAGATGTAATCACTAAGGAACCTTCATAAAAAAGTTGTCATTTTTACAACAATAAATCAGTCTACTTAGTTTCAAACCTCAAAACCTGCTCCGACGCTCTTAATGTTTACAGTTTGAATCTCATTATGCTTAGCCCAGATGATTTTTCCGCTACTGTCCATGCTAGCTACAGGCACTTCACGACCAAGTTTGACCATAATGGTTCCTTCATCATAACCGATCACAACTCTGTACAGAGAATACCAACCATGACCAGTCCAATCATATTCCTCATATAACAAAGAAGTTACGAAAAGGTTGCAATTATAATCCAGAAGTTGCAACATGAAGATTACAGATGAAAACATGAAAAGTACCAGTAAGCATTATCGAAACATCTTCCAGTAGAGGAAATCCAAATATGAAAAAGATAGTAAGAGAACATGTTTAAGAACAAACCTTCTTGAACTTTTCATGTAGCCGATAGCCCAGACTCTTTCAAGACCGTAATTCAATGTATTCTCCAGCCTGTGTTGAATTGAAAAACTATTAGGAGGATTCCTCAAATGTAATCTGTTAGAAAATTTTAAGCTAGAAAAAAGGGGAAATACAAGCTAGAAAAGATGGGAAATACAAGATAAATTGATTCATGTACCGCACATTCACATGAAATCAACAAAATTAGCATATGTTCAACTGACTCAGATAAACTACATGAAATTTCTATAAGCATCTGTCTGAACGCTGGAATGTACTAAATCTATAACTATTCAATGTTCAGTCCATTTTGTCCATCAGCACACATAATGCAAAGGAATTTCAGAACTCACCTCGTATTCAACATGGACACGGTCAGATATACAATAAATTTGGACCATGACCTTTGATTTCTAGATTAATAACCTCTTATGATGTTTGTAAGACATAAACCATTTAGTACACGCAGACTGGATCATCAATGATAACCTATTCAAAAGTAAGACACAAAAGCACTGATTTAGTTGGAATGAAATGCTCTCTCATGTAAATTGTTTTTGTCCTTCTCAGTAAACTTTTGAGGTTTTATATTTATTATGATCAACTCCCTGCCACCAGGCTGAGTGTCTAATGGCATGAAACTGAAGCTCAACTTTTCTGTACTGTGCTTTAGTAGACCAGCATACAATCATGGCTTGTCCTGCAACAGATCAGTCTAATGGAGACATGTTCATTCAAACAGACTACGGGCAAAACCATATGATTGCCAAGATACAGACGTAGGGAATACCACTGAGCGAATCATAAACATATTTGGAAACATAACACAAACGTAGATGCCTAATTATCATCCGCACAATAACTCAAGGTGTCTAGGCAATACCAAATGCCGGAAAGGGAAAGTGAAGATGCAACAGGATATCAGTAAAAAATCGTGGAACTATAACCTATAAGTAGTAGAATGCCATATTCGCACGGTACCATCCTCTGAGCCAGTAATTACGATGGGCAGATCCGGATGAAAAGAGACAGCTGAGACATTGTGTGTGTGACCTTCCAATGTCTGGACACAGCTCTTGGTTTGATAGTCCCACACCTGCTTTCATAGAATTGATTAGATAAATCCAAATCGATAGGCTATGCAATACAAAACCTTGACAGACCTTAGCAGTATGATCATCAGCTCCAGTGATAAGAAATGGTTTATCACCACCTGTGAAATAATCTACACAATTAACTCCTTTTTGATGGGCATCTAACGTGAAATTTGGATCAGGAGAGCCGAGATTCCAAATCTGTAAAGTAACAACAAGAAAAAAGGATCAGCATGAATTGTAGTCACAAGCAAGAAAGCAGTGGAACAACGAAAGCCACCCTAAATAAGCATAACTATACCTTTATCGTGCGATCAAGTGATGCACTTGCGAACGTATTTGTGTCTTTTGGATTAAAAGTGACTTGCATCACATAATGTGAGTGTCCCTCAAATATCTGAGTACAAACCCAACCCTTCTCCCAATCCCAAAGTTTAATAAGCATGTCATCGGATGATGAGAGCAAGTAGGGGAGTGTGGGATGGACAGCCACGGATCGAATGTAGTCTGTGTGGGCCTCAAAAACTTTAACTTTGTCCATGGTGTTGTAGTTGTATACACGAATGAACATGTCATCAGCTCCAGCGACAACCCATTGCTTGCGTGCAATAAATTTTGCTGACCTAACTGCCAGACATGATTTAAATTTAATGCGAGGAGAGTAAACAAAGATGAAACTATTATGCGGGCCACTAACTGTTTTAGAGCCCAAGCAAGCCAAATGCATGCACAGACTGATTCACGCGCAGTGAAGTACCTGGCAGATCAGTGACTTCAAAGGACTTAACCATTGTCTGCAGTAACATTAGAAATGTCAGAATCAGTTCAAGATGCAATCAAATAGCCCATGTGAACGAGATAGTACTATCGTATTGATCCTAGTGAATCTCCATTCACGTTCCATACCTGTGACTGGTAATCCCATATACAAACAGTTCCCGCATACAAACTTGCTAGGATCCTGCATCAACAACAATTAGAGTTAAGCAAATAGCGTCGTTCGTCTAACTATGCAAATTGATTTCCAGTACAGAATATATTTTATACGGAAATTGAAAAAGAGTTGAAAGAACAAAGTCATGCCGACCATGGTTCTGTTGGATGCAGGTCTACAGACTTCACTCTCTCTGATCGTTGAATAAACTTCCTCTGGCACGGATACAGTTAAAATCGAAGCGATCAATACCAAATCGCATGTTAAAAAGACAATGTAAATCCACCCGGCCCAGAAACAAACCTTGATTTCCAATCTGAGCGGCTGCCGAACAAATTAACAAACAAAACAAATAATCAGTGCCGAATCAAAACCCGGAAAATAGAATACACACGCAATCCTCTTTCTTCAGCTCATTGTCAACTAAAACTATACAAAGCCAAGGATCAGCCATTTACTTCATAAAAAGAAAAAGAGAGAATTCTAACTTAATTCTAGCAAATTAAACAAAAAATCTAAACTATCGAACACAACAGACCCAAAACCTCGGCTTTTCTTCACATGAAACATGTCGACTAGGTTCAAGAATTAAAAGCCAATGTTTACAAGTCATTACAGCTACGTGTTTCAAAGTCCGAATCCATATCCTCCAGTGCCTCTGCCCAACAGAAGAAAACGAGCAAACAGACGAACCGACAGTGATCCTGAGGCTAGCATATGCGAGCTCGAATCAGTAGAAACGGAAGTCTAGAAAGCCGGACGCGAGGCGAGACGTCGAAATCAGACCCCAAAGGACGCGAGACTCAGCAGATCCTTTCGGCGCATTCAACAGCGGGAAGAAAATCGAGGTTCGAGATCACGTTAGAAAACCGAAGCGACGCACCATTTTTCCGCCGGTGGAGATCGCCGCTCGAAATCACCGTCGGCGAGCGCCGGAGATCGAAGCCCCCCGACCAATGGCGATCTTGACGGCCGCCGGAATCACCTCCTCCTTCTTGTGCGCGCGCTTCGGATTTCGGGAGGGAGGGAGCTCAGCTTCTTCGTCCGTAATGGAGCCGGAAACTCGGGAACGGAACATGAATCACCACCGGCTCGGCCAGGCGTTTCAGCTCACAGCTGAGGCGCCGGGGGAGACGGGCCCGATTCAATCGGGCCGGGTTGGGTCAGGCCCAAAGCATGCACGAGCTGGTCAACGGGCCTAGTCCATGGGTCCAAGCCCGTTCTTGTAATTTTGCGCGTAATATTTAATAAAAAAAATTCCATTAATGTATTTTCTTTTTGATCTACTTCCCCGTGTGATTATTTTTATACAATTCTTTTATTTTTAACCGAATGCAATTCTTTTATTTTTCTCGTCTTGTTCTTCTAATATTCTATCGCGCCATTTTCATTTTCTTTATATATTTTCACTTTTCCATCTTCTCTTGAGAATGTCATTGGTTAAGCTCCTCTTCCAATTTCTTTTTAAATGCTTCATCAACATCTAAACAAAAAATAAGTTAGGCCATACCTGATTATTTATCCCCCTAAAACTACTATTCCCTAAAAGCAGTATTTATAATTTTAAGAAATTCAAGTAACTCTTAAAAGCGTTGGCTCATTTTACTTAGTACTTGTATTATATGAGCTGAATCTCTATAAATTTTACTTTTTTCACGTCATTTCCTTATTTATAATTTTCTTAGGATTCTTTAGCTCAAACAACCTTATTTCTTATTTTTGGTATTTTTGGTTAGTGACAAAAGTTTCATCTCTTCACTCGTCAAATCTAAGTAATTAAATCGATAAGACACTATCCAATTAGTGTACCGTGGAATGTTATGTAAATTTTGTTAATTTTCTGTTTAACTTAAACTGTTTCTATAAAACTGGGCAGCTTAAGACCATTATTATTTAATTTATTAGCCAAGCCCAAGCCCCAACCCATTTCCTTTCCTCTTCAATAGATAGAGGGATAATGATATAAATAATCCCGGAATTTTAGCCCAATGTGCAATATGGTCCATGAACTTTTTATTTGTTCAATATAGTCCCTGAATTTTAGAATAAAGTTCAATATGGTCCCTGAACTTTTATTTTGTTCAATTTGGTCCATAGACTTTTGGTACATGTTTAATGTAGTCCCTGAACTATATGAAAATGTTCAATGTAGTCCTTCCATTACTGAAAATTGATTATCATATAATCACAAGACTGCTGAAAATTGATAGTGCAAGAAGATAGTTAGAGAATTAAAAACATCACGCTTCTATTCATGCACTATTCTGGATGAGTATGACATTGGTGAATTGCATTACAGAAGTGATATCAGAAAAAAAATTATATTTGTTCATGAGGGATCAGGAGTGGAGGCTCGCAGTTTGAGCAATACGCATGAAGAAGAACTTGTGCTTTCACTTCTCCTCAACACTCACATAGACACAGAGCAAATAGATCCACCAATCTTCTCCTAATTGATTATGAAAGCACAATCGTTGCTAAGCTCGACCAGAAAGCATGAGCAAAATCATCATAACCTCACTGAATTTGGCTCATTATCACACTAGTTTATTGAAAACTTGGAGATTCATTACTAAAATTGAAAGAAAAGCGAAAAAATGATCATAACAGACCATTAGTGTTGGGCATAGTTACGAACATCCTGTAAAAAGATGAAGATTAATTAAAACAAAATACCAAGTTAAAGTAGATCTGCACTTTCTGCTCCTTGTAGATGAGCCACATAATTACTTCTTTCGGTCCCAATGTCCTCATGCATCTCTTCATCCTTCTCGGTGCTAAAAAAATCAAGGGAAAGAAAAAGGCTAAATAATATATCATTAAAAACTTCCTGAATCAATTTCTGCATGATTGATTATGTGATAATATTATCGCTATGGCATTGTAAACATTGAGTTTGGAATGCTAATAGATACAAATGATACGATCATACCTTGCATAAAGAAAGGGGTTTCGCATGTGGCTGTCAGGGGTGTTAAAAAAAACCGCAAACCGCCACCACCTGGAACCGGATTGGACCGGCCCAGAACTAGTAGTTCCTAAGGGAACTACTCCGGTTCCCTGTTCCAAGTATGGAACCGCCCACCCGGATCGGACCGGTAATAAAATATATATAATATATATGTTTAATTTTTAATTAAAAAATAAAGAAATCCTAAATCCTAATGTGTGTAAGTGTTGTACAGGATTCTACCATTTTTACAACTCATTGAAGCTTGAAATGGTTCAACTTATTTTGTTGAAGTTTCACTGTCTGCTTTTGCCCATTCGCAACAGTGCGATGCTATATGGCTTCTTCACATGAAAAAGTAGTGGAAGGTTATGACATTCCTAAATGTGGCTACAGCCTATTACAATGTCTTTAAACAGCAGGTGAAGGTTCCTACTGGAAACTTTCCGGTCCTTGACTCTAGCTTGTTAGGAAGTTCCCAACTTAAATAGCAATGTCTTAACTTGAACAGCAGGTGAAGTTATATTTTTGTGTAATTCTTCGTTGCATATTACAATGCCAACGTATGAAGCTTGGCAGGACAGGTTCTCATGCAGGACCGGTTTCATGGACCCACCTGGGAATCGGATCGGATTGACGGTCCAGTTTTCGGATAAATTCATAGAACTAATAGACGGTTCCTAGTTCCAATTTTTTTAAAGTGATCCTTAGTGGGTGATTCCCGGTTCTAGGGTGAGAATCGTCCATCCGGATGATGCTTACATGTAGTGATCGTATATGGAATGTGCAATTTTGTCAACTCATGGAGCAAAAGAAACGTCAGGTAATAATGTCAAGTCACAGAAGACTTTAGTGCCTTCAATAGAACAACGACCACGAGATTAGTGGTTCCGTGATCAACGCGGGCTAGACTCAAGATTCCACAAAGTTGACCTAAAGTGGAAGACTAAAGTACTAAGAATACAAAACACGTTGGTCAGTCAAACATGCCTAACCGTTGACCGACGTGAACTTTTGGCGTTAATCGTTGACTGGTTCAGTGAAACCAGTCTAACCGGATTCAAGGCACTTTTCGGATCGGTTCAAGAACCTTTGTATTGATTCTTGGCAATCTCAAATCGGTTCCAAAGGTATTTCAACGTGCTGGTCCATTTTTCAGCCTTATTATCTCCATATTTGCTCTCGAGTAACTGGTTTCTCCATATTTTTTTGTCTAATCTAGTGTGTTGAAGCTGAAAAAACGCATATTATTAATAAATTAGAAGTTTCAAGGCCTAATTACCATCGACTACAACCCAAGCAACTTACAGGGACGGACAATCAAGTCCTTCCGTTAATTCCGTCCAACTTAACTAGTGAAAAATGCGAACACAGCCTTCTTTTTAATATTTTTTCTCTCCCATATGACGATCACATGGCTATAACATGAAACATAAGGCTAAAACGGCATTGTTTTGATCCAAATATGAAATTTAATACAAAATTTAATTTAAATTAAATTTAGAAATAAGCTAAATTAAATAATAGAAAAGGAGAAGGGTTGAGATTCAGGTGGCGAGGGTTTGCACAAGCCTTGCTGCCGCCGCCCCTTCATCATCGGCCTTGCCGGGGAGGGTGGGGGATGGTCGTCAAGGGTTGTCAACCCTAGACAATGGGCGGCGACCCTTGCTGATCGTAGGTGAGGGCTGACTCGTGGCAGCCCTCAGCTAGACCTAAGCAAGGGTCAGTGACCCTTGCCCGATCTAGGGGAGGGCCTGTAAGCCCTCGCTTGTGGTCAGCGAGGGTTGCCAATCACTAGCTAGGGCGCAGCGACCCTCGCCAGCCATCCCCCCCCCCCCCCCCCCCATCGCCAGCCAGCGATGAGGGCTGTGCAAGCCCTTGCCGTTGATTCTCAACTTTTTTTAAAATAATAGCTTTTTTAAAATTTTAATTTAAATAAAATTTGTACTTAAATCAAATTTTGGCTAAAACGACGTCGTTATGGCCACATAGGAGAGAAAAATTATTTTAAAAAGCCACACCATCATTTTCCGTCAGCCAAGTTGGACGAGATTGACGGAAGGACTCGGTTGCCCAATTCGATAAGTTTTATAACTCAATTGCATTTACGTAACAAGTTTTAGCACTTTTGGTACACTTATCCCAAAAAATTATCGGTAAAGCCTAGAAAAGGAAGGAAAGAAATGGAAGGGAAATAAAGAATTTTTGTTGATGAAGTACGTGTATTTTGGGAAAATTAATAAAAAGAAGTTCTAAACCTATTGCACTTGTGCCAATTCAGTACTAAACTTTTTAACAATTTGCCAATTACGGCATTAGAGTTTCCATGATTGCGATGACTACTAGAAGACATGGGAGTGCGGTCATCATAGCAAAACAACTATTCATTGCAACAACCGAAGTGCTAATGATTTTATCCACAAACACAGCAAGCACATTTAAATAGACTGTCATTTCATATTATATCATGTTCTTCGTGGCACTATTCAATTTGTCTCTACTTCATCTACTAATTAGATGTTGATGTTTTCACCAAGACATATCCATATAGGCGTTTTCTAGATCTTTTTCCAAACTCAAGTTGACCTTCAAATCACCTTGACTATTACTCTCAACCGTAAATTAGAAATATATTTAGGAGATTCTCTAATTGATATTTTGCTATTTTAGATAGTGATTCTATAAAGTCTAAAAAGACTCATGTACTAGTCATTTGACAATGTACAGGAAAATTACATTTTTCTCAACCGTAAACATTGAGTTTTGAATGCCAAGAGAGGTGTTTCACATGCACCGGCATATGGAATGTGGACTTCCATGGACGTCACTTGGTGGGAACACTCCAATAATTGTAGATGGAAAAACTCATCGAGCAAAATAAACGTCATATAAGGATGTGAAATCACATAAAAACAACGACCACAAAATCAGTGGTTCAGTGTTGTCAACGCGGGCAAGACTCACTATTCCATAGAGTTGACTGAAAGTGGAAGACTAAAGCACTAGAAATTCTTAAATCACGTATAAGTGGGAATGCACCGCAAAGTTCAAATGTGGCCGCCATGATCCACGACCACGAGGGATAAGC